TCCTCCCCAGGGACACCTGTGTCTCTACGTTGGGGTGGGTCATCCTCCCCAGGGACGCCTGTGTCTCTACGTTGGGGTGGGTCATCCTCTCCAGGGACGCCTGTGTCTGTATGTGGGGGGCGGATCCTCCTCCCCAGGGACACCCATGGCCCTGTGCCCGTGCAGGTCCTCCCTAGTGGCTTCCCCTGGTCCTTGCCAGCAGCTCTGACGTAGGTCCTGTCCCTGGGCTTTGCTGCTGCTGTTTTCCTCACAGCTGCGCCCTCCCCGAGAGGATTCTGTCCTTTCATGGACAGTTCCGTCTAGCCAGCTGGCTTCTCTGGACCCTAAATTTGATGTGCTATATCTGTCTGTGCCAGCCCTGGTGCCAGGAGCCAAGCCAGGATACAGAAGGTGCTTACTACTGATTTATTGAGTGCAGAGGTAGGGACCCCAGAACCTGGGGCTGCCCAATGCCCACCAGCAGGGCGGCAGGGTCCTGGAATGTCCTGTAGGCTGCCTGAAGACTAGACAGTCTGGTGCTCTGAAGGAGTCGAGATGGGCTGAGGGTCACTGGGGAGCTGGGGGGCCAGCAGGTTTACGGGGGGCCTGAGGTGTCCCCAGGGTCTGAGAGCCCAAAGGTGAGCATGAGGGAGCATCTCTGGCCCAAATCCACAGGCCTATCCTGGAGCACTGGCTGCATCCCCTCAGGCCCTCTGGAAATGCCTGGTTCAGCATTTCCCGTGGGGAGCCTCCTGGGGCAGCATTTCCCGTGGGGAGCCTCCTGGTTCAGCATTTCCCGTGGGGAGCCTCCTGGGGCAGCATTTCCGGAGGGCAGCCTCCTGGGGCAGCATTTCCCGAGGGGAGTCTCCTGGGACAGCATTTCCTGTGGGGTGTTGCCTCTGGGAGCGCTTCTTGTGGGGTGTGGGTTTCACCTGGAGAGGCTCCTGTGGTCCCTGGCCCCTGCTGTAGGGTGTACTCTCAGTGTTGAAAGGCAGCCCTGGTCTCAACAGGCCTCAGAGGCGCAGTCCTGGGTAGCCCCAGGCCAGCCTTCTGTGGAGCTTGCTGGAGACTCTCTGCTGGGCTGAGCTTTTTGTCTGGTCCTTTGCTGGCTGAGTCCTGAGAAACGCCCCCATCCTCCCACCCACAGCAGCCTCTCACCTGTTTGTCTGTCTTCCTTCCCCTCTGCGATGCCTCTCCCCAGGCCGGAGGCTCCTTCCCCTGAGAGCCGCTCAGGTGGAGTGCTGTCCAGTGCTGTCCTGGGCCCAGGGTCCTGGGGTCCGGCCAATTAACCGGCATCTCCCTGTTTCCCTGCAGAAAGATATGGCCCTGAAGCCACATGAGAGGAAGGAGAAGTGGGAACGTCGCCTGGTCAAGAAGCCCCGGGAGTCAGAAAACTGCCCCGCTGCGGAGCCCAGTGAGAACAGGTGGCCCCTGGAGGCCGGCAGCCCCGGGCAGGACCTGGAGCCCGCCTGCGATGGAGCCAGGAAGGTCCTGCTGCAGGCCTCCAAGCAGGTGAGCAGGTCCCTCCCCCACCGGGAGCTTCTTGTTGGGTCAGTGCTCACCGCCCCGGGGCCACGCCAGCACCTGGACACCCCCCACGTGGCCCCTGGGCCTGCCCGGCAGCGCCCCATCGTTGTCAGGCTTGGGGCTTGGGACCCCTGGATGGGGCTGGGGCCGAGCAGAGGCAGGAGCCGGCCGGGCCACTGAGGGGCCGTGACTGGCCCAAGGCCACAGCGGGAGAGGTGCCTGTCTGGGGCATCGAGGCGCGCGTGCCGGGCTGGGGCACCAAGCTGGTAGGCCGGCCCCGTTTCCCTGCCGTGTCCGTTAGGCTCCGCCGACTATAGGTGTCCAGCGTGTCTCTCAGGAAGGGTCCAGACTCATTGCTGAGGCTGTTCTGCCCACACGTAGCGCCATCCGCTAACGCGTGTGGCATGGGGAGGGGAATGTTTGGTTCCGGCGGTGGCTGCAGGCACGTGACTGTGGTCAGTGGTCAGGTGCGTGGCCCAGCTGGGAACAGGGCCCTACCTGCTCTGCCCGGGGGCCTTCCTGCCCAGGAGGGGCTGTCAGAGCAGGTGGGTGCTGGCCTGGGGCCTCCCCAGCACGTGGGGCTCTGTCCTGGGTGCGGCGCAGCCTGCAGCTGCATCCTCCGCAGGGGTCCGCTGGTGTGCGCCTTCCTTCCGGGGTGGGCTCGGCGCGGTGTCCTAGGCTCCCCTTGGCCCCCTTGGGAATAGGGCTGCTGGAGAAGGGCAGCATGCCTCCTGGGCCTGGGCTGGACGGGGGTTGCGTGGGCACACCTGCCCAGGTGGACACGTGCTCTTTCTTCCATGCAGGTGTGCTCCCCAGAAGGGGGGCCGCTCCCAGCCAGCCACTGGGACCAGAACGGCCCGGCCCAGCGCCAGCAACAGCTCCAGCCCTGCCAGTCCAGCCAGCCCCAGGGGTCCCTCCCAGCCCTGTCGGCACTCCCGGACCCCGGGCAGCCCTGCCAGCCCTCCCAGCGGCCACTCCTGGGTCAGCGCAGTTGGCCCCAGCGGTCACTTCTGGGCCCGAAACAGCCCGGCCAGCCCCGGCGGTCACTTCTGGGCCCCGGGCAGCCCTGCCGGCCCCAGCGGCTCCTTCCAGCCCCAGATCAGCTCTGCCAGCCCCAGCGGTCCTGCCTGGCTCCGCCCTGCCGGCCACATTGGGCACTGCCAGGCCCCAGGCAGTGCTGCCGGCGCCTGCGCTCCCTGCTGGTACCGTGCCACCACCGCCGGCGCCTGCGCTCCCTGCTGGCCCCACGGTCCCTCCTGGTCCCCTGCCTCTACTGCCGGCGCCTGCGTTTCCTCCTGGCCCCAAGGCACCGCTGCCGGCGCCTGCGGTCCCTGCTAGCCCAGTGCCAGCGGTACCAGCCCCCGCGGCCACTCCTCACCCTCCGACCTCGCCGCCGGCCCTCCGGCTTCCTACCGGGACAGTGCTGCTGCCCCCGGCGGGCCTTCCTAGTGCCATGTCAGTACGGCCAGCCCCGAAGGTCCCTGCTGGGCCAGCCCAGCCGCCCACGGCGCTTACTGCCGCGCCTTAGGCAGCCCCAGCGGTTAGTGGAAGCCCCAGAGCAGCCCGGCCCACTCACACCTTCACTCCTGGGCCCCAGACGGCTGAGGCAGCAGAAGCAGCCGCTCATGGGCCTGGAGCAGCCCTGCCAGCCCCTGCGGCCGCTCATGGGCCCTAGCAAGCCCTGCAAGCCCCAGCCGCTGCTCCCCATTCCCGACCGCCCTCCACTCCTGGGGCAACCAGGCCCACCCTGCCGGCCTCTCCTGGGGCCCCTGTGCCAGCCGCGGCGCTCCCTGTTGGATCTGGTGCCAGCCTGGCAGCCCCGGCTCTCACTCCTGGCCCTGGGCCATCCCTGCCGGCCCCTGAGGTCACGGTGGACCCGATCCTGTGCCCCCGGGGTGGCCCGCCAGGCCCCATCTGTGAGCCCCGGAGCCTGATGCCTGTGGGCACCTCCCCGGATGCATTTTCCAGGCCACCCCAGTGTGAGCTGCACCCTGGCAGGGCCCCCAGGGCCAAGGCCGCCTCGCCCTTCGGGCCGGAGATGCTTTGCTGGACTAGCCCTAGGCCTTCAGACAGGGCCGGGCTGTTTGCCGTTGGAAATTGAGGCTCAGCCGGAGGTGGGAGCCCTGCAGTGCTGTGATCGGGCCGAGGCCCGCCACGCCAGGAGGAGAGAGGAACCCGGCGTCTTCCTGCCGCCCCGCCATGTCCCCCAACCCGCGTGTGCTGCCTGTGGTGTGTGCCCTGGGAGGGCCGGGAGCTTGCTGGGGCCCCTCAGTGTCTTTCTGTGCCTCTGCACGCCAGTACTGTCCTTGCCTGCACGCCTGTCCTGGGTGTGCCAGTGTGCGGAGCGTGAGCGTGGTGTGTGCGTGCGCGCAGGAGTGGTGCCAGCGCGAGTGGCGTGCTGGGCGGGAGCACCTGTGGAGTGCTGGCTGCAGGCTCTTCATGGGCCGCACCCCATCGGCCAAGGCGCAGTTCCCGCCCTCAGGCAGAATCCCAGTGGTGAACGCTGAAGGTGTGGGTTTCAGTCCGGCCCCTCCCCCGGCAGTCAGGTGGTGCTGGTGTTCACCTCCAGGGTCCCCAAACTGCAGGGGCTGCACGGGCCCACTGATGGGTCAGGAGCTGCAGGGGGCCCGGAGGCTCCCACCCCCACCTCTCAGGACTCTGCTTCCCCCCCCACCGTGGGCACACACTGAAGGGGTGCTCGCAGGGTCTCCAGGCGAGGGGGAGCCCACAGGGGAGGCAGCGCCTTCTCCCGGCTTCCCAGAGTCCCCCGCAGCGTCCTGTCCGGCTGTTGACCTATGTGCAGTCAGCAGACCTCACACTACAACGCTATTCCTGGCCCATCCCCGCCCTTCCGCAGCCCCCACCTGGGATCAGGGCTGCCACCCCGGGCCTTGGTCTCGAGGCAGCCCCACTCGAGTCTTCTGGAGTCTGAGGCACGCCACTGGCCCAAAAGGAAAGGGGTGTTTGGCGAGGGCTCTGACTTTCTCCAGACCACAGGGGAGCTGGGCGGCTGCAGCCAGGGGCCCTCCAGAGAGCAGCGTTGGCCCCATGGACCCCTGCGCCAAGTAACGGGACGTACTGAAGGCCTGGTCACTCCCAGCTGGGCAGCTGCAGGTGTCAGGAAGGCGGGTGGGTGTCCCTGGCTTCCAGCAGGCAGCTGCTGACCTCTAGCCCCCCGCACTTGCTCACGAGGACGCGTCCCCCACAGGCCCTCCCGGGTCCCGGCCAGGCTCTGGTGTAGCACCTGCTCTGGTCTGCAGGCCCCACACTCCCCGCCCAGCCAGGCCCCTTCCTGCGGTGCTCACCTGGGGCCTCCATCCCAGAAGCGCAGGGTTTATTTTTATGATTAAAGAAAATAAAAAGTGCCGTGCCACTATTTTTTATAACAGTATCAGCCTTGGTAATTTAAACAGATGAGTGTGTGTCTTATGTGATTCATTCTGCAAATGGGGTTTGTGCTAGGCTCCGCTTGGGATTTGTTGTGCTCTGACCTGACAGAGGGGAGACCCAGGTGTCTGGTCATGAGCTTCCTGCCCGCCCGTCTGAGGCCTGGACAGAGGGGCCTGCCTGTGCTCAGCATGGGGGGTGCTGGCCTCCAGATCCCCCTATACAAGGCTACCGTGTGGGCCAGCGCGGCAGGGGACAAGACCCCCCTCTCGGCTCATGCCTGGGGTCACCCACCCTCGGGATAGGCACCCTGGGGACCCGTGAGGGAGTGTGGGTCAGCCCAGGGTTCTCTGTGTGGCCTGGGGACCCGTGAGGGAGCGTGGGTCAGCCCAAGGTTCTCTGTGTGGCCTGGGGACCCGTGAAGGAACGTGGGTCAGCCCCGAGTCTTCTGCACGGCTGTCACTTGCTTGTGTCCTGCTCATGGGAGGCCAGGGCATCAAGCAGCTGAGTTCTGGCTGCAGCACCTGGCGGAATTGCCTTCAGACATCTCCATTGTCATGCATGGGGGACAGAAATGATGTAAATAGGCTCCTGCCCCCCTTCCATATTCAGCCCCCTTCCTCCCCCGAACCGGGGTCACCGAGGGGGCCCTGAGTACAGAGCTGTGTCCGGGTCCGACCTCAACGGCCTGAGGGAGTGAGGAGGGGCCGTCTGTGCTGGAGCCTCTGAGCTGAGCAGTGCTGCCCCTTAATGGGGAAGGCCAGGCTGGCGGGGAGGCCTGGGAGGGTGATACTGCAGCCTGGGTCCACGTGGCCAGCAGCTGAGGGTGCAGAGGACACCAGCGGAGGAAACCCTCAGGACCCAGAGGGGCCTCACAAGGCCTGGCCGTGACCCTGTAGCCTCCGCTGGAGCCCAGTGTCTGCATGGCCTGGTGGGGGCCGCTGTGGGGAGGGCAGAGCTGTAGGACCCTGTGGGGTGGACATGTGCCTCGTGTCCTGGGGCTCACAGCCTGTTGGGGCCGCCGCCAGGCATTGCCCTGGAAAGTGCAGATTCTCTGTGGCCGGATCTGGGATGTTTCTGAAGAGCTGGAAATCCCGGTTTTTCTGGATTCAGCAATGTTGAAATTTGGTGGTCAGCTCTAGTGTTTATGGCTCACTTTACTGACCAGAGGACACCGCTGTGGGCCTGCGGGGCCCTGCGAGTGGGATTTGGCTCCTGTCACAGGCAGCAGATCGGAGCCTGAGGCCTGGGTGGGACACACTCGTTCCCTTGTTTCGGGAGGAGGGTTGCTCAGTGGAGCCGAGCCTGCCCAGGAAGGTGGGCCTGGGTCTTGCTGCTGTAGGGAAGGCAGGTACAGCCCAGCCTGAAGGTTGAGGATGGAGTGACAGTGGGGTGGTGGCAGTGGGGGTGACATTGGGAATCTGGGGGAGGCTGCCCACTGCCTGACCACAGACCCTGTTGCTGCCTGGGCGCCCTTCTGGAGACGGGCTGGGGCGCAGTGCCCTAGTGACCATCAGCCCGCGGGTCACCTCTGCGTGATCCTTTGCCCACCTTGCTGTTGCTGGCACAGGCAGGCTGGCCCCCTCCTGTCTGCAAAA